AGTGGGTAGGGCCATGTCTTCCATTTCCCTCCTTCATCCTATACAGCCTCATGTAGGACTCTGCAGCAAAAACAACCCACAAACCAGAATGCCAGTGGTTGGGCCTAGGCCTAACAATAGGTTTCACATAGGAATAGGAGGGATTTGCAGTTGGAAAGCCATGCAGTTCAGTTTCACCAGGCTTGCAGGGGATGCAGAGTGAGGAAGGTCAGGACTTGGGTATGAGTATAGGGGTATATCTTAGAATCTTAGAGTTCTGTGCTTTAAGGTAAAACCGATAGTCTTTACAAGTATTATGAGGGGCTTTCTTTGTTTTCCAGAGACTGCAAGGTGCCCAAACTCTAAGGTAGCTGCCATAGGAATATTCCTCACAGCACAAGGCTTGTCAGACAATGCTCTAGTTATCTATTACTGAATAACACACCTCTCTAAAATGTAGAGGCTTAAAACAGCAGCCATTTTGTCATTTCTCAGGATTTTGGATAAGGCACAGTAGGAAGACTTGTCTCTGTTGTAGGTAGTGAGCAACAGTCCAGCTGGCTGTAACAATCTAGTTGACTTCTTCCCTCAATGACTGGTCCCTCAGCTGGAATGGGTCCACTAGATTCATGTGTTGGGGGCCTTAATTCTTGTTTGGTAACTTGGTCCCTACTTATCCTCTGTATTTATCTCTACATCAAGGTGGTTGATGGGGAACAGCTCAGGAATATCAAGAGTTCAAAATCAAGATCGCCAGGTGTTCATAAAGCTCAGATCTGGAATTGGCACATCGTCACTTCTGCTGCCGTCTTCTATTGGTGTAACTGAGTCATAGGTCCAGTCCAGATTCCAGGGTCAAGGACCTCAAAAGGTTATACTGTCAAGAGGCATGTTTCATTGGGGGCCACCAAAGTAACAAACCACCTGACAAGAGGGCTCTAGGAGCAGACGTGTGTGGGCTGAGGGTGCTTCAATTCCTAATTTTATGCTGCCCTCTCTTCAGAGATGATTGGAGGGCAAATAGTAGGGAACAAGAAAACCCCAAACTTCCTCCACAGAATTAAAGGTTGCGGGGGCGGGGTCTGGTTTGTTACTGGATCAGCCTGAATCAAGGGAGGCTGGGCTGTGTGTGTCTTCATTCAGTCTATTAAGCATTTATTGAGCATAGTCTATGAGCTAGGTTCTTAACACATGTGTGATTTCGTTATCCCTATTTTACAGAGAAGAAAGCAGAGGCTCGAATGCAGCCCTCTGCTGCACCTAGCACCAAACACGACGCAGCCTCCTAGGCCCTTTATATCCAGCAGCTAGAATTGGGCCAGGGCAATGACTGGCGCCAGGGTCTCCGGGAGGGGAGCACTCCACACGGCCAGCGTGGCTAGCAGAGTGGTAGGCTCCTAGGCAGACAACAGGAAGAGGGCGCTTCAGGGCTGCTACCCCGTCTCCACCGTGGTGGGGGCGAAGCACAAACACTAGCCCGCTAGGGTGCCTTGGTATCGAGAACCGGAGGTCTCAGCGAACCCCATTCTCAGGATCCGAAACAAGCCCCCAGCGCCGTTCGTGCGGGCAGCCAGCGGCCTGCGGGACCCGCCCACGACCGCACGCACGCGCCGGCCCCGCCTGCAGCACAGCTTTGGCCCAGCCCTCAGGATTGACCGACCGAGCCACCGTCCGCACAGCCCCGCCCCGCACGGCCAGGCGAAGAGGAGCCGGCCGTGCGGTGTGTGTGTATGTGTTCGCGGGGCCCCGTCTCAGCCCCGGGAAGATGGTGGCGGTGGCGGCGGCGACTGAGGCGAGGCTGAGGAGGAGGACGGCAACGACGACAGCGCCTGCGGGCAGAAACGGCGCGCGGCTCCGCGACTTTGACGCGACCGGGGCTGAGAGGCCGGGGCTGGGGGCCGGGCTGCGCCTCCCGCGGCTGCTGCTGCTGCTGCTCTCGCCTCTGCTGCTGCTACCCTGGGCTGCTGAGGCCGCGGCGGCGGCGGCGGCGGTGTCGGGCTCAGCCGCAGCCGAGGCCAAGGAATGTGACCGGCCCTGTGTCAACGGCGGCCGCTGCAACCCTGGCACCGGCCAGTGCGTCTGCCCCTCCGGCTGGGTGGGCGAGCAATGCCAGCACTGCGGGGGCCGCTTCAGGTGAGTGGAGGGTGGTGGTGGAGGGTCAGGCCCAGCCAGAGGTTGAAGTTGAGGGGCGCTCCAGACAGCTTCAGGCCAGAGGCGGATGCCGGACAGAAATTGGGGAGGGGTGGGCCGCCCTCACGGTGTTTGAGGACCATTTGCTTTCGGGGAGATAATCGTCTCTGGCCTGGGATCTTCCTGTACTGGAAGATGAAAAGGTTTGAGGTAAGGGTGGGGGTACCCCAAAGCGGTTTGGGTGCCGCGGGCTACATGGGAAGAAGGCCTAGGGTCCCAAAGTGTATCAAAGCCAGTCTCTGAAACTGGACCTCTTTTGGATAAATGAGATATAAAAGAAAAGGTGAAAGAGAGCCACTCTTACTTGAACACTTCGTTTTAACATCCCCTTGTTCCCTAGGGCCTGATGAGTTAGTTCTCTGACTGATTGGAGATGTGGGTACTCTGAAGAAACAGGGCCTGGAAGTGATTTGTTGGCTGGAGATAGAAAGGAAAGGGTAGGATTGTGAGATATTAGAGATAGAAGAATCAGTGGTTATTGGCTAAGCAGCGGTTCTCAACCTTCCTAATGCCGCGACCCCTTAACACAGTTCCTCATGTTGTGGTGACCCCCAACCATAAAATTATTTTCGTTGCTGCTCTATAACTGTAATTTTGCTACTGTTATGAATCGTAATGTAAAAAATACCTTTTTGTTTTCTGATGGTCTTAGGTGACCCCTGTTAAAGGGTCGTTCGACCCCCAAAGGGGTCGTGACCCACAGGTTGAGAACTGCTGGGCTAAAGGCTAGTGAGGAAACGAACCATGTGAAGCTGGGTGGCACATTGGAACAGGTCTGTCATGGAGAGGGCATATAGAAGGAGGTTTTGTTTGCCCTGGTTTCTGGGAAATATGTGGAGTTCTGAGTTGGCTTGGTTCGGGGCAGTACCTCTTGGAGAGATCACTCGTTAATTGGTTAGTAGTTATCTATTATTTGCTTCAGTTGTGCAAAGATTTCCAGATAATCACAAATAGATTAGCCAAACTTTGGCCTAGTCCACAAAGAGGTTCGAATATAGCAAGAGAAAGATATGTACACAAATAACCCCAGTCATAGGGGTACAGATATTTACTGAACACTTTTGATGTCAGATGTGGAGGAGTGGAGAAATACAGAGACCAAGATTGACAGGACCCCTGCTCTCGTGGATCTTACATTCTAGTCGGGAGACAGGCAGTTAACAAGGAAATCAGTGAAAGAAATGAACGAGATAATTTTAGACAATGGTAAATGCTGTCAAGAAAATAAAACAGGGTGATCTGATAGAGAATAACTAACTGGTGGGTAACTTTAGGAGAAGCCCCTCATTTTAAGTGACATTTGACCTGACACCTGAATGAGGCAATAGACAACCTGTGGGAATTTAGGGGCCGAGAGGTTGTGACTAGCTGAGGGATGCAAGGAAGACTTTGAGGAGGAGGGGACATTGGATTTGAGCATTTGAGGCTAAGTAGGACTTGGAATTGTGCAGATGGGAAAAGAATTTCAGATGGAAGGAAGGATGCAAACAAAATTGTGGAGACCAGACATACAGTATTGCTGGTGCCAGCGTATATGGAAGAGCGTTGTGACAGAGAAGTTTGGAATGTACTTAGGGTGTTCTGATTTATGAATTGATTTAATCTACACATATTTATTGAGAACTACCCTAGGTTAGGTTGTGAGATAACAAGACAGACACAGTCCTGCTCTTGTGGAGCTTACATTCTAGCTTGGGAATAAGACATCAATTTATTATGATTTTGCTTAGGGCCCTGGAAATGAGCAGGGAACAAACAAAAGGACTTGATTTAGTTTGGAACGGTAAGGTTAGTGACTGAATAAGTGACTTTTGAATTGAGACCTGAGGGATGCAGGGGCACTGCCTGCCTACATGAGGGGTGGGGTAGTAAGAGGCCAGCATGTATAGAGGCTTGGGGATGAGAGAGATCGTGGCAGGCTGGATAGAAGGCCAGGTGGCTGGAGCAGAGGGGAGCATGGCAAGACTGGAGAGATAGGCAGGGGAGGGACCAGGCCATGTGGATTCCTGTTGGTTGGATTGAGAATTTTGACTTTTAGCCTATGAGCAGTGGAATGGCATAGTTCATCCCGTTTTTACAACGTTACAGGCTTTTAGATTGGAGCCAGAGCAGGAATGGCCATGAAAGTGAGGCCAGAGTGTTTTGAATTGGAGGAGCTGCCAAGATCAAATGAATGGATGGTTGGGTCAGAGGCGAGTTCTTTAAGTTCTGAAAATCTGGGATTCCGTGGTAGGCAGTGAGGATCCATTGAGTGGGGAAGGACATGCATATAGCAATGTCAGTCCGTCTGTAATGTTCAGAGTAGGTGGATTCACTTTAAGCGTGAGAGATGGTGGGTAACTAGCTTGGAACTGTTGGCATGGGTCAGGACTGCAGTAACGAGAACTTGAGATAGGATGTGGGCATGGAGGCAGGGATAGGTGCTAGGTGGTATTATTGAGGTAAATGACAGATCTTTCTTTGAAACTGATTTGCTCTTGGGAAGAGAGAGGAGAATGGTGAGGGAAAGAAAACTGGATCCTGTCTTGGGCGATTGAGAGGATGGTGATATCATTAATAGACACAGGGACATAGGAGGAGCAGATCTGGGATGTTTAATTTTGCACACACTGAGATTGGGGTACTTTCAGGGTATCCACCTGGCAGGACAGGTTGTAAGCATTGAAGTCATCTGCATAGGAGGGAGATTGCCAAGGGAAAAGAGCAGGTCTGAGTGTCTGTGTAGACAGCCCAGAGGATTGGAGAAGAGCCACTTGTTATGGGAAACAAGCAGCCCTGACACTGGTTGTCTCAGATGGTGTCACATGTGAGTGAAGGGACTCCCCTGGTTATTGTGGACACTCCATTTGAGCTGGTTCAAGCTGGTATGAGTGCCCTTTCCTGGACAAATAGTTGTGACTTGGACTTTGGTCCTGATCTTTGCATTATATTTAGTGGATTTATGGAATTTGCATTTTAAAAAATGAAAGTAAAAGGAACTTATGTCCCTGGCCTTTAAAAAAAACCCTCTAAATCTTTGGTTGAAGGATTTCTTTAGGGGAAGAGTGAAGTGTTGGTTTTGACTATAGTGGTATGTATCTTGATGTAATTTACAAACCTCCTTGTTATTAAACTAAGAGACATTAAAATGAATACCCTTCTGGTTTGGATTGGCATCGTTGGTTTTTTTTTTTTTAAGCTATTTAGTCCCATAAATCCTGTCTTATATTTGCTATTAATAAGGTCTTTTTCATTAATTGAAAGTAACAGGGTAATAAGAGGATTTGATTTCACTAAAGTTATCACTAAGTGCATACTATGTTCCAGGGACCGCATCAAGCAGTTTCCTATATTGGGTTGTTGGAAAAGTCATGACGTATTTTTTCCATGTTTTTTCGTTGCAAAAATGCGTCATGACTTTTCCGACAACCCAATACATTGTGTCTATTTAATCTTCAGGGCAACTCTGAGGGTGTTGTATGAATTTTGGATTATTGTATGGCTGTAATTAGAAAATCACTTAACTGTTTTCCAAATGAAAGATACTACAAAAATTACAGAAGATAAGGTTGATAGTGGCATTATATAAAAATAACTATGGAATCTTTGGTGGATTATTTCTAAAGCAGTACCATTTTCATTCATTTTTATGTGACTCTTCATAATTCAGTGATCTTTTCTTTCAATTTATGACATCACCACCAAAATTTTAAACATTGAGGGATAAATACATTCCATCAAGTTAGAAAATAAAGATATTAAGCCCATTTATGAAATTAATATGCACTTAATTCCTTTAAGTTCCTGCTATTCAAAACTTTTGGAGGATAGAATAGAATAGCCTAGTGAATTGGAGCCTTATAGTTACCCATGATGTTAAGAGTTACCTTCTCTAAAAGAAAAAGAAAACAAAGAGAAATTTATTGAGCATCTGTTTTGTGCCCAGCACATGCAGTGTTAGTAATAGTAGTTGTAGCAACAGCTGCCACCATTTTTCTAGCATTTCTCCATTTTTTTCCAGGTATTATGTCAAGTGCCTTTTAGAAATTACCCCTTTTAATCCTTAAGAGTGAAGGTATTCCCATTTCACAGGTGGGTAAGCTGAACCTTTAAGATCTTGAATTACTTGGCCAAGGTCACAAAAAATTGGAGTTTGAATTCAGGCTTTGTCTAATTCCCAAACCCATGTTTTCCACTGTACCATTTGGCCTCTCATTTTTTTTTCTGAATCCAGTCACCGTTTATGAGCATTCTTTGGAAGGACTGCCTTAATTCCTTTGGGAAACACTTTGAGAAACAGGAGGAAAGATAGATTTGTTACAGCAGGAAAGCTAGCATAAAAAGAAAGATCTTAACTCACCTGAACCTGTCGAACTGCTGGTCTGAGGACATAAAAATACCTAACTAGTGAAATGAAAATTCTGGGAAAAAAAATCCGAAAAAAGAAAAAGATAAAAAAATTTCTTTCTCTTAGTACTTAGTGGTAAGTACTAAGCACTGTTAACCTGAAACCCTAAATTTGTGTTTATGAATCAAATTTAGGCATGTTTGTTTTCTCCATCGGAACATAAGCTCCGTGAAGGCAGGGATTTTTATCTGTTTTCCTCGCTGTTATGTTCCCAGAGCCTACAATAGTGCCTGGGACATAGTGCTCAATAAATATTTGTTGAATGAAGGAATGATATTCTGCAACATATTTTCCTGTGACTTAAAAAATGTAATTTTTGTCTATATGACTGCCATTTGTGTCTTTTGTCCTATTTCTCCTAAACTCGATTGTCTTAATTTCTACTGTTTGCTGTGCATCTTTCCTGGGATGTTTTACTGTCACCTCATAATTAGCCATGTCTAAGACAAACTTCTTATCCTCATTGCAAAAATAGTCTTTTCCTTTATATTTTCTTATTTCCGTAGTGAATCTGACTTTGGATAGCCAGGGATCAAAATTTAGGAGTAATCCTTTT